ATCTACTCAAAGGACCGAGTTCACCCAGCACGAGAACCAACGATCGATTGATTTTACGTTTGGAGAAGATATGGAATCACCTTCGAGTCGAACGAATCGATCGTCGATTACCTCGTTATCGATATGAATAACGCGATAAAAGTCCACCTGTGCGAGGGAATTCTGTCTCGTGATAAAACGAATCGTATTTGGAAAATTTCCGTAACATTGTTTTGGCTACGATGGACTACCGTGATCGAAACGACGTAAAACACGGAGCGAAACGAGCCACGCAACAAGCGGTACAACGATTACAGGAGAATTACAAAAGTTTAACGGGAAACATTGATAATAAAATTAATGCAGCAAAACCAGGCTTGTTCGCTCGAATATCGTCCCGTGTTCAGCGATATCGAGCGACCTGGCCGACACAGTTCTCCGTGCGATCACCACCCTTATTGTGAGCTCACTCGCTGCTTGTAGTGTGCAACAATCTACGATATTAAAAGCAACGAATTAACCAAATTGCCAGAACTTTCGTTCTATTATGTACGTTTAATTCGAATGCGTTCGAGCATGATCTTCGTTTGCCTTCGATCGACGAGCGTTCCCAGCAACGAATGAAACCGACTAGCGACGCGCGTACGATTCAGACGCCGACAGACAACCTGTCGTAATATAATTATCGTTTAAAAATCTTCTCGTTGGAGTAAAAAGTCGGGCGAGAGACGAAAAATAGGGAAACGGCGGCGAATTATCAAGGCATGGCAGATCCGAGCGCGCAATTATACGAGTGCACTTGCGTTTATGTTACGTAATTAGCGTGAGCCATTTACGAAAGACGGGGCTAGCTCTCGACCCTTGCATATTTATAATTTAAACACGCCCGCGGCGTCGGAATTGCTGCGAAGCTAATATATATCGCGGAAAGATCCGAGCGAGCTAAGTAGGAATTCCTAGGAACCGGAGCGGTAAAGCGATTTCGAGCATCGTCGAACCCGATGTTGGATAGGAGGAACCGCGTAATCGATATTCGGCAGGAAGGATCGATCGATCGGTACTTGGGGGAGAGGGTTCGGACGGTAGCGGTGTGAGACGCGAACGGCGTGTATCGTCGATCAGAGGACGATGAATAGAGGTTGGCGGCATCCCTGCGTAAGCATTCAGCTAGCCTATGATGAATCGGCCTAATTTCGCGGCCGAAAGGTCACGTAAGCTCGGTAAATCTTGGCCAGTGGCATCGGAGCAGCGTTTCAGAGGAGCGAAACATTTAGCGGCGATGCACGCAAATCCCGCAACGCTGGTGCCATAGCTAGACCGACCAAACCGCTGGATAGTCGGGACCGTAGGAAGCGATTCCTAAATCATATCAGCGCGCTCGAAACACACGCCACGCATTCCTGAAACTGTTTGCTGTCGCCTACTACCAACGACCAACCTGGTTTCGCGCGCCTAACACACGCGCCCCGACATACGAGTAGTCGTGTGCTTGCTCTCTTGCTTGTCTCTCCCCTTCGTTCGCATGCTCTTCGGTGTACGCTCTCTCTCTCCCTCTCTCTCTCTCTCTCCCTCGATCTCTCCCTCCGGCGATACAAAACGTTTCCAGCAGTTACCCTCCACGGTCCATCGTGGTTCAACATGAACCAGCGTTGCCCAGCCGTGCCCGAGGAACACACCGACCAAGTCGATCCACTGCCATAATCATCCTCGGCATCTCGTCGATGAGATTAATATCAGCCCCTTGTTACCGTCCTTGCTGTTCGAACGCGCCTCGATGAAATTTCATTTCTCTCGCTTTTGATCCAATCCGACTGTTTGATATCGAACTCGTTATCGCTAAATTCCTTCGGCGAGAAAAAAAGCCGAAGAAAGGATACCGAGTGGACAATTATACGACCGATCGAGCGAAGTGGCCGTTGCCAGAAACAATTTCTCGTGTAGTTGAATATGCTCGTTGTTCCCGTAATCGTTACGTAGGTTATCGTCAATGAGATTAATGCTGTCGAAAGTTAGGAACATCGAACGCGCGGATATTACGTTAGAACGTATTAAACGAAACCTGAGATGAAACTCGCTCTCGAAATATTTCGTAAATATTCTGCAAGCCTAATGGAAATTTTTTCCCTACTAAAAAATTATGAAAATTATCGATTTAATTAATTATGGTCTTGCAGTAAGCTATGATCGTTAAGAGGAAATTCTTAACTGATAATCTCGCGTATAATTATTTGTCGCTGATAAAATACTTTGTTACGAGCTAATAAATCGATCCGCAAGAAAATTACTTCGTATAACGAATACGAGGCGATTATTGATACGTGTTAAGTTAAAATCGTTAATCGTCGATCATACGATATTAATCATTTACAACTGCACGGAAAAACCTACTCGTACACGGCTATGATACAGAAGCTTATTAGCCTAAAGAGAAAATGTGCTTTATGTAGAAAGTTTTTACATCCATCGTTGTTAAGTAACTGCACGAAGAAGACCGTATAAGAGAGAGAGAGTATAAGAGACGTCTTAGAGAAGAGATTAGAGTGTCTAGCAATTGCTAATCTAAGGGTCTCAAGTTCTCGCGATCCTCTCGATAGGATTTCTATTGGATTTTTCACTTGGAACGTCAATACCAAAATTATTCAGAGAACTAATCGTGTTAATTCTTTTTCAATAATTGAAATCTCTTTCTCTCTATTTCTCTCTCTCTCTCTCTCTCTCTATCTTTTCTTTCAACAAATTGAAAAAATACCCTTAAACGAGCCAACTGAACTTTTTCCAATTTGCACTGTTCGGATGAAATATTCCGTCGATGGTTCTAATTTCTTCTAAAATCAGCTCTAGCAAAATCTCCGCTCCTATTTTCCGTGCTTTAACATAAAATTATTCCCCAAGTTTTTCATCAATGTAGGTTAAGTAGCTCTTCGATGCTTTGTTATCTCAAAAATACCTTAAAATCTCGATTTCGATGTACGATCGATAATACAGCGTTATACAAGCATAATTCTAGGAAGACAGTCGGATCTTCGACATATAAGAGCTCGAAGAAGCCGTTTAAATTGAGAAATTACTCTAAGTTCGATGTATATAGAGAAAAAGATATATATATATAAAGAAAACGATGTACAAAAGAATTACGAGAGAAGCAAACAACCGAGGAAAGTGTACATGGAAGGGATGGAAAGATTGAAAAGTCAAAAAAGTTTGTAGAGCATCCGGAAAAGGTGGAAAATATTTTGCAAAGAGAAAATGCTTCGACGGAGATTTTCATATCGTTTGATCACTTTGACAAATGTACTTCGTCGAATAGGTGTACGAACAGGACACGAAAGTTCTAGAACCTTAAGAAATCTCATTAAATCGTCCTTACGTAATCGTCGAATCGTTAGTTCGCTTACTTCCAAGCGAGTACATCGTCGAATCGCCAAAATTGCCATCTTCAAATTGAACGGTTCGGTCGGCGTTAAGATCGGTTCCACGCTTTGACGTTAAAAAACCAAACGTTTGGAAAATCTCTCAGGAACTGGCCTGAAAGCCTAGAAGCTAAATAAGCCGAAGGTAACCAGGGAGTATCTCATTCGAAACGATACTCGCACGTCGGGGGAATCGAAGCGTTCGTTGGTAATTAACGTCGGCCCTTTACTTATCTCGTGCTGGAACTGAATACCGAATACCGAAAGGTCACAGAAGCTCGTCCTACGTGATCGATCGAAGCATCGTCGATGACAAGCTTTCGATCCGAAGCGTTGAACGAACGTAGAAATCCTAAATTCGCGATGATCACCTTTAATCGATATTTGTCATGTGCAGACTACAGGAGAGGAATGCGATGTTACATTTTCCATACTTTGTAGGAAAGCAATTTCAAGATGAAATACCTTGTCGATCGATCTTTGGTTATCAAATACCGAGATGATTTTTTTATTTGATTTCGGAGCCAAACACGTGTATTAAAAATATCGCTTGTCACAATAACAACAACAACAACAACAGCAACAAAATATCGTAGGTATTAAAACATTTCTTACTTAGTAATCGCGCGTTATTATATGCTTAAAATTGCCGTTCGTGCTGTATACTAATTTCCTACCGAATACGTTTATGCGTGCGGTAAATACCTTGTAACCTCGGATTGCCTCTAAAATTTCCCAATATAATTATGGCAGCTGTGTAAAAAAATCAACAAAGACGTACTTATCGCGTGTATCCTCCCTATGATCTTCATGCGTATCGTAATCGTAAATCCGATTTCCTCTTTGAACGATTAACTTGGATCACCTATGAATATCCTATCAATTTAAAATTCTATTAAATCTCTCCCAAAAGCGAAAACTATCGGCAATATGTATAGTTCAAACAAGCGATATCTATCGTTTCATGCTGGTTAATTGCCAACCTAGAATCTGTGCAGCGAACGCTTGTTTTCTTCCAGCATGGAAAAACGTTCCAAAGCTACACGCGCCTATCCTGTTCGATTTGCAAATTTTCATTGAAAGTCGATTATCTCGAAGTCGCCGGGAAAGCGAATCGAAAATTCATCCTGTATATTCCGAAGTTTGCGATGAAACGACGTAACGTTGTTAAGAGTTCTTGGACTCGTTAACGAGTTGCAACGATTCTACGCGTGGTGGTCGTAACATTGCTCTCTAAACGAACGTGTAGTTGCCTCGTATTACCGTGTTTATCGACTTCGTTTCTCTTTCACAGCCCTGATCGTACATCGACATTCGACAAATTTCGCACGCAGTACACCTTTTGCGCTATAATCTACCGTATGACGCTGGCTCCGTGAAACAACCCTAAGTTAACGCGCGAGGTATGGGCCGTTTGTTCGTCGAATCGATCAACGCCAGGAAACAAAAAGATAGAGAGAATCGACGAAATTATGCGTTGCGCGTAACAATATTATATTTAAAAAAATACTTTGGCAGCAAAGTCTCCAAAATTGTAAAAATCCAGTTACCTGCTTTCACCTCGTATATCTGTGCGGCTCGTACATTAACACAGAATATTTGTTCTCTCACCTGTTTAGGATAGTTGACGCTCGGGCAGGTTCGGCGTGCTCGAAGGGCAGTGGAAAAATTTACCGCATCTTTGTAACGTGTTCGCCAAAGGTTCACGTGCCGCCACTACCGTCGTCAATATCACTGACACTAATATCACTACCACCAGCACCAACACCACTTTCACCACTATCACTATCACCAGTATAGATATCGCCACTGCCACCGATGTCGCAATTTACCAGAAAAACTTGCCTCTAGATGATCGGCGCGAATGCATTTGCAAAACCGTTTTGTCCTTTTCTTCACGCTATATCCCTCGCGTTTCGTCGGGCTTGCGGACGACCTGCTTTGCCAATAGCTAGAAATTAATTGGAATGGAAACTCTTACGAGTCCGCAACATTACGCTGAAATCTGAGAATCAGGTCGAAGTGGTAGATGCTCGGTCTCGTTTTTCATCGACAAAATACCCCTTGTCCTGTGGCGAGCACGTTGTCGAATAGTCGTCCGAGCGCGTTCTACCCCTACCGTTACCGGGGTTCGACTAAAGCGAGAACCGAAGCTCGTACATTTGCGATACCCGAGCGCATGCTCTGGCTTTCCTCGCTTATCCTCGTCTGTGTAGGTGCTGCGGCACATAGTTGGCCTGTGTCGCACCTATAAAGGGTGGTCAAGAAAATTCTCGCGGAATCAAAATCCCATCGAAGAAGTCGTCGGGCTATCGAAGGCCCTCCGAGTCCTTTCGCTACTCTAACTCGATTTCGAACGGGGAAACCATGGAAATGCGGAGAACCGTATCGCTTGTCTCGTAACTCTTTGTAAATATCGCCACTTGCATTTTTCCTTCTCGTTCTCTATTTCTCTTTATATATCCATGTCAGTTTCGTATCGCGGAATAATCGAATCGGTTTTTGCACGGCCAGTACACTGCCATTCATTTTTTTTTTTATGATCTATTTTTTGTTTCTATCCTTTTTTTTTCTTTTTAAGAGAACGAGTCAAAGAAACGAGGACAAAAATGGAAACGAAAAAAGTTGGTCGCGCGTATTTAAATTTTGTCGCGTCGAATAAGCCGGCGGATGTTATTTAGTAGCATCTCGTCAAGCGATATTTTCACGCGCGAATCTCAACCAAAGCGTTTCAAGTATGCGCCATATGATCAGAGCGACGACATCGTCATCGGGCGGAATCGCGTCCTCAAATACGAGATCCTTGAAAAACACGACGTCTCTTGAAAATATCCTGGAAAATATAACGCGACGCTGATTCGCGTGATCTCGCCGCGCGAATTCACCACTTCAAATACGAGTGCACTTTAGCTAGGTTTATCAGACGATACGCGCGTACTCTATACGTATTCCTCGACGTGCAGTCAGCACGACGAAGAAGAGGAGAGAAAAGTCGTGCCTACTGGAAGGCGTTGCATCCAAAATTAGAACAAATTGTGTCCGTACATTTAATTACGCCCGTTGCAGGACACCCTGCATCCGGTTTCACGAATTTTCAACGCTAACTTTTAACGATTTCTCGCCAACAGCTCGTTAACTTTTATGGTCTCGACCGTGCAACTGCCGAACGTATCGCGTTGGAAAAAACAGTTTCTAATTTTCGCGCGTTCGCGCGATTTTATCGCTTCTTTCGCAAGAGCGTGGCAACGCTCGCCCATTTCCCATGATTTTTCTCGTCTTCTTCATCATCGAGCAGTTACACGAAACAATTTCTACGGCGAAACTTTCCGCGTCGTTGGTTGCTATCGAAGGTGGCGAATGATTTTCAATAACGAGATTCGAGCGTAAGTCGCAGAGATCTAGATAGACGAAACGAATTCTCGGTTTTGCCAGCAAAGTAATCACTTTGTCAGTCTATCGTTAGAAATTTCTATTAATCAGAGAGATCACCGCATGGTCGAATCATTCGGTACGTAATTTCTGTTCGATGTTCTCCGTAAGTACAGCGCTGTTCGTGATAGTTACTACTTACCAGAAGGCAGCCCAGTTTTCCCGTTCTCTCATTGATTCTTCTAGGAATAATATTCTTATTCTTTGAAGCAGCGCAACGTTGCACGGCTTTTCTTAAATAACCGCGAGTAAGTCATAGATAGCTAGATCGTGAATGTATAATAATCTAAAACCGACTCGAGTCTGAGTCGAATCCGTATCGTGATCGCCGTTAAAACACTTGAAACCTTAAACTCTCTCGCGTCGATCAAAACCTTTGACAGCGGTTAACTACGCCAGTTCGACTCGCTAGCTATCGATAGAGTTTTGCACGATCTCGTCTAGCTTTTCGTTATTCACGCGTAGTCCAAGTGCTTGCCGTAAATCATTCGAAAGCTAATTGCCTGCTACGAGTCTTGAAAATGTGTCGTTGCTAACATACGCAATATATGTTAGGTCGTCCGAAAGGTTTCTTTCGTTTTATAAGGAAATAATGGATTTCCGTTTTCTATTATTTTATCGAATTACGTATGATCCATTTTGTTCTATCGAAATAAAGATCGCAACGTTCGACAGGTTAGGTTTCATGTTTGTATAAAGGTGCGTCGTTGTAAAAGACGCGTCTGTAAAGGAAAGACACTTTCCGGACAACCTAATACACGCAAGATACGTATCTGGTCGCAGTGTCGTCGGTGAGATCCGCCTGTTAATTTACTCGTAGCCGAGCACGTTTGGAATGGGAAAAAATTTAAAAAATTTTCCAAAATACCGATCGTACAGCGTTGCGAATTCGTCGAAGAATTTTTTTTGCTCTTGTAACGAGCTGCATCGGGAAAAATAGTCGAGGTTTCGCAAGATGGTTTTGTTATCACTTCTCGTTAGCGGATGGCATCGACAAAAGGCGAGTGATGTAGAGAACGTGCTTTACAGAGAAAGCTTCGTGCTCGCGAACTAATACTTTTTCTCTTGCAGCAGTCATTATTCAGCTGTAACCTGCTCGGCCTGCGACATTCGTATTTCCGCCTTACTTTCTTTCTATTCTTGTTCGTTTCTATATTAGCAAGCGCGTAGCTTACAGCGGTCGTTTACTCGTTATTGCGAATAATGGAATCGATTCGCTGGACGATTTGCGCTTACATCCCACGCTGACTCTCATTTTTACCTTTTCTCTAGCGACTTTCGGTTTAACAAGAACCAATGAGAGTATGGACAGCTTTCTTTGTTTTCTCCTTCTTCTCGTTCTCTATCGATCGATAGCTCTACATTATCCTATTTATCACATTCCGCTTTCCCTTTTTACGAACAATTTACATGGACCGAGTACACTTGCTGCTTCAATTTCATCCACAGATCTTACGAGTGTTGGTTAAAATGTGTAATTCGCTGCCACTCGAAGGAACAGTTTAAACTTCATTGTTTTCTGTGATACGCTTAACAGCATAGAGAGCCTTTGATCGAAGCCAAATATCGATAAACGAGAAACGAAAACGTACGACTCGATTTTGGGTAAAAATAAGCGAATTTCCGGTGGGAGGACAGGGTTAAATTTGATGCAGAAAGACAGATAAGAAAATGTGAAATAATAATCTGGTATCTGGAAATACGACAGAAGAGAAACGAACTATCGACACGCCATGAACGGAAAAGGTGTGGCGTTACAATATCCTTCGTCTCCCTCTGCAAGTTGAAAGAGGGGAAATTTAATCGGGGAGAAGGTTGGTAAAAATTTTAGCAGGCGTGCTTTGCGAACACGTTGATGCGGAACAGATAGATACGAAGAGGTAAAGAGGTAACAAACGACGAATGTTCGTGTCGTTCGAACGAGGCCATCGCGTTAAAAACTGCTCGTTCGCTCGGCGACAATGCGAATTGTACAGATCGAAGAGATGCTGGGAATGTAAACGTGCTATCGCACTTCCAACTTGAGTAATTAACGGCAGTGCGACGTGTTTATAATTAATACGGCTCATTATCGTGACCAAGCTCGAATTTCCTCACATCGAATCGTCAGATGGTCGACCCAATTAACCGGTGCCATTTACAATTGGAGTTGCGCGCCAAACGAATCCCTGTTAATTTTATCGCGCCAATCAGAAATGGGCACGACTCGTGATTACTTCGATAGAGTCAACTCAACGCGAGTTGCGACGTGTTCGAACATGCAACGTGCAGCACGGAACATCGAACATCGAACGATTCGACGGGATACTTTGTTGCGAGGCAAAACGAATTTTTGATTGCAGAGAGGAGGAAAATTTCCACCGATAAAGCAGCTTCCAGAGACCTTTGTTCTTCCTTTCTTCTAATCCGGAATGCGGATGTTCGCCATCTTGAAATTCTCGGAACCTTGCGGAAGTTTCGCGAGTTTCGCCAATAAGTTTGTGTATCGCGGTATTGCAGCTGGCCGAGCTCGCTTAGTTTCCGTCCGACGATCTCTTCCTTCGCTGGCATTTTCCCGCTTTCCACGTAGTCTAAGCTTCCGCTCCTTATAGAGCTCGACGGGACAACGATCCGACTAAAGAACTGCGAAACAGCTGAACGATCGGAGAGAGAGGGCGAAGGTACGCGTGTAGAAAACGATCATCGAGGAAGAAAAGACGAATGTGGAATTACGGTTGAAAGGAAAGACGACGGGAGCAAGTATCGACTCCAGGGAAAACATCTCAGCTCTTTTCTGCCTTCTGCGGAACTCTCTGAAAGACCGTGGAAAGTGGCGGAGAAACGGCGTGGCTAAAAATTTCATTGTTTGTTCGGCCGATTCGTCGACCTTTGTTTGGCACAAGTTTCGCGCAGAAGGCATATTAATACGGTTCAGCAGTTGAATCGTAAGAGGCGCGTACGTCCAACGACTGTGGAACAGCGCGCCATTAACGCGTTTCACACGGGTTCACCAGCCGTAAATGTAAAATCGGAAATTTTAAACACAACTTTTAAAAACGTGGTTCGCGAAGAGAGGCCTGAAACGCTTGGTTTTCCGTTGAGCAAGTTTTCTTATTCCAGGCCACGAACAGTTTCGCGTCGATCGTAGCCAGTCGCAATTATGATCGAGCAAGTCGTGAAGCGAATAATCAAGTTTTCATTTTTCTCGCGCGACTGCCGTGTCAACTACCGAGTGGAATTCTTGAATCGTTCGCAGGGACGAGAAAAGGAATGCTGTAGCAGCGTTCTGCAGCGGATAAGAGAAAAGGAGAATCAAGGAAAGAGGAAATTCGTTTAACGACCGTGCCAGCGAGCTGATACACGAACGACACGGAATACATCAGCAACGAGATGCAAATTACAGACTTACGGAAGTATTGTTACGGACGTGCGACAGCATGCGCTGCAAATAATAAAGCGCGTAATACTATGCCGTATTTGGTTGGTAGCGATGTACGTACAACGATCGAGCCGGAGATGCGATGTTTCTTCGAAATCGCGTTAAGTCGTGGTTCCGTCAAAGCGAGAAACGTCAAAGCGAAGAAGAACGAAACGTTTAGCGAGTACACAGGTAGGCGAACAATAGCAGCAGCGGGAAACAGGCTGTTCATCCTTGCGTCGAATGCGTTCGTTCACGCGAGACTAAGAATCCCAAGTAAACGCGCATCTACGGTTGAAAATCG